CTAAAAAAAACTTGCTTAACCAACATAACTGCAATAGACACTAAACCAGTCGAAGAACAACATATACACGATCCCTTCACTATTTTATTCACGCAATGTCAGCTCATAGTTATGTATATTATGCTTTTTTAACATTATTGTACTTTTTATACCAAGATGAATTGTCAGGCTTTGCACTAAAGGTGTATATGTATCAACCGAAAGAAATAAAGGTTACTCCCTAAACCACTCCGGCAAAAGCCATTACTGTGTTTTCTCGTTTCAACTCGTGAACTTAGGATCAACTTGTATGGAATCTCAATAGATGTACTTGGATTCAAAGAGCTTCTTTGCTACTAAGTGATCCTTGTTCGGTTGATCGTTTCTTCTCCAATATGTGCCCATTCCTCCGTTAAACGCTTAACCTTTGAAGCCTTTTAAACAGAGCCACGCTAATTTTTGCAAATTTAAGGTTTCTCCCAAACGGCTCCCACATAAAAGCTTTGTAAAAAGTTAACCTTGTCATAATGGTAATAGGATTTTGAGCTACAAACACTTAAAGCTAATATTAAGGGTGGTTTTAACGGGTCATGCCGTTGCCAGGGTAACTTGAAACTTTCATAAACTTGTTGACGAATGATTGGGCATTTGTTTGATGCCGTTATTGTAGCTCCATAAAAGTAGAAGTGCTAAAAACAAACTTGGAAACTGTTATCAGCCATCTTAAACCCCACGGTTTCCATTTTTGTGAGAAGATGCTTGAGCTACCCAAATTACAAATAGGCCAATTCCGAGTTGAATTTGCTTCTGTGTCAACACGAGTCTTCATATGATTATGTGTTTCGCCCACAGGTTCATTTTCATGTAAATCAAACTCCTCTTCGTATTTAGACGGGCACTCGTTTTGAAACAGGTACAAAGTAACTTGGAAATGACCTATTGTAGTCCCTGCTGTTACGGCACATCTCTGGAGACAGACAAAGCTGTCCTTAGCTTAAATATACTTGAGCACGACAGCTGTCAGTTTTAAGAAAACGCCGTCTTTCTCACCCAAATCCTTTTTAATCTGGCCAGATGCGCTCAAATCGGTTCAGTCAAAAACCCAAAATAAACAGTACTGCATATAAAAGGAAAAACCTAAACGCCAAAAAACATGGACACAGTATTTTGTTTCGGCTTACGAACGTTTTCTTTTAATAAAGGTGAAATTCGTAGTGTGAGGCAAAATTTGAAGTTTCTTTCAGCCCAAAATGACCGGATGAACTCTAACGGCATTGAATTAAAATTAGATTCCACTGGTGTTGACAAATCCATTAGTCTCTGGCTGGAAAAATGAAAGCGGGATCGATCAATTTCTAAAGAAGATCATCTAAGTATTTGCGTCAGTACTTGGTTGCTACTAGTGACCGTTTATCAACTGCGTTCTAACACGATTAAATGTTCGACGAAAGGTAATTAAATTTCTTTTGAACGCAAACTGATCAAAACGAAGTGGTCTTTCGTCTTTTACAAGATCATGAACATTTCTGCCATTATTTCTTCTCCCATTCAATGGACAAGTTCGTGGTTATCACCACTGACACTTTTCTTGTTCGTTTGCGTCTTTCTTCTCTGTCTCGTCATCATTGGACTTATCGCTAACATAACTGTTTGCGTCGTGATGCTTCGAGGCGGACGCTTTAAGAAACACCTCTCAAACTTCATGCTCTTTCATCTTTCGATTACAGACATTGCTTATCGCCTGATTATTGTACCCGGCCAGGGGGCTTCCATATTTTACCCGTTTGAAACCAAGCCGACGATGTTCTGTAAAGTCGCCAAAACCTTTCTCTACACGTTCAACAGTGCAGTTTTTACAAGCTTGGTTGTTATCGCCTTCGACAGGCATCAGAGCATCACAAGACCATTTCAGCGTTTGAAACACAAACCCAAATTCTACCGATGTCTCTTGGCGGTTTGGGTATATTCCATTGTATGCGCGTTGCCGCAGATGCACAGCAGTGGAAATGGAACGCACGCCGTCAACTTCACTCTCTCTGCCAAAGGAACAAACTATACCTACGCCTTACACTTGTGTGTTTCGTCAGGGGCAGGTTCAGCTCAAAGAATAGTGGCATTAATTTATTTCATTCTAGGATTTCTCGTACCGCTGGTAATGATAACTGTAGCCTACTCTAAAATCTCCGTCTTCCTGTGGAGAAAAAGTCGTAATCGCATCATTAATCAAGCCGCTTTGAAATCGAAGGGAAAGGCACTTCGCATGCTTGTGTTGGTAGTCCTTGGTTTTGTGGTCTGCTTAGGAGTACCACAATTATACGACTTGACGAAGTCGCTCGGAGTTAAGGACCAAGCAGCAATTGCCGTTCTCTCTGTAATACTTCAACTATCAAGTTCTGTCATCAATCCTGTGATATACGGTTTATATTCTGCCGAATTCAAACAGGGGCTCAAACGAGGGACATAATCCTCTATTCCATGGTGGCGCTGAGGGAAACACGTTGCACTTTAACACGCGCTTTACACGGATGCTAACGCGAGTAGCAAACAGGAAACCTAATGAATTATATTCGGGAAGAAGGACAATTGAAGAACTTTACTTCAAGGAGCCGTAAGATGTGCCAACACTTTTGATATATCATGTCATATACCGCGGATATGGAAGCACGAGCTTGGAAAAGATTCTACCTTGCAGAGCTACGTTTACCGGAGAAATGTGAATTGTTTTTCCTTCGTTTTTGTTCCTTTTTATTTCTTTCTTATAGTGATGTGTAAAGGTTAAATTACGAATTCAGAACTGGGCTCTCTCGACAAAGTCAGTTTCCACTTTTCCATTTTTATCATTTTCACTCTAACCACGCATCAAGATCACCTTCTGACTCATTGTTGACACTCTTCACCCTTTTTTGTCTCGCGTTTTGTTGGGGTTAATGTTGTTATTGTTAAAAGCCTCTGACAGCGTTTAATCTTGCCCACATCAGTAAGAACCTGACAGTATGAGATATTAAATGCAATGGTCATTGTTAATTTACTTGAAGTCCAATCACTCAGGAGTTAAACGGAGACGAAATTCAAACACTACTTCATCAATCTTTTGATTCTAAGACAGAAGTCATCCTTTGAATTTTTAATGAAGTACGTTATTTTTCTTATTATTATTATTATTGTTATTATTATTATTATTGTTATGATGATGATGATGATGATGATGATGATCGTTCAATATTCACTTCTGTTTCGTAACACAGTAATAGATTTTGGAGTTTCCAGATGGAGTTCAGTTAAGGAGAAATCTATTTTCTACTATTGATCATGAGCCTTTAAGTTATACTGTCATAACATCTCTTTCAATTCGAATTATCTATTTCTCACGATCAATACTGGTGGCCTTATCTACATGTATTTTCATCCTAGTTCCGAGAATATAGAAGTAGCAAGAAAAAAATCATCCCCATTTGACGATTTTCCGTACTCTGTTCTCCCGTTTTTTTTTTCTAAGCGTATTGTTGTATTGTAAGAAGAAATTAATTATTTAAAAATATTGNTCTTTTGATTCTAAGACAGAAGTCATCCTTTGAATTTTTAATGAAGTACGTTATTTTTCTTATTATTATTATTATTGTTATTATTATTATTATTGTTATGATGATGATGATGATGATGATGATGATCGTTCAATATTCACTTCTGTTTCGTAACACAGTAATAGATTTTGGAGTTTCCAGATGGAGTTCAGTTAAGGAGAAATCTATTTTCTACTATTGTTCATGAGCCTTTAAGTTATACTGTCATAACATCTCTTTCAATTCGAATTATCTATTTCTCGCGATCAATACTGGTGGCCTTATCTACATGTATTTTCATCCTAGTTCCGAGAATGTAGAAGTAGCAGGAAAAAAATCATCCCCATTTGACGATTTTCCGTACTCTGTTCTTCCGTTTTTTTTTTTCTAAGCGTATTGTTGTATTGTAAGAAGAAATTAATTATTTAAAAATATTGAGTAGTCTTGTCATCTTCAGTGAATGAGGCACATCTGCGTCGAGATCCTTTTTCCGGTTGAGATTTCATTTTGCTGCTCTCCAGTATAGTTAAGTACTTAGATGGTCGTATATGATAACACACATAACGATAAAAGAGAAAATAAATAGTTCAAAGTTATCTATTGAACAATGTAGAAAAAAATAGCCATCTGTGAGAAGCTGTGCAATTTTAAAATATACAATACTCGCCAATTAATAATGAGTATTTATTTCTTTGTTTCTTCCTCCCTTAGCTTCCATATTTCAGTTCCCTTTTTTTTTTCCTTCTTTCTCCCCTGTTTTTCTTTTTTTAATACTCTTTTTCTTTGGCCATCGTAGCTTGATAAGAAATAATTAACACGCAAACTGCGGTAATAAACATGGAAATAAAACGCATGTTAAAAACAAAGTTCATTTACTTGACGTTTCGTGTGTTTCAACATACATCTTCAGAAGTGACCGTTAGGAATAGAAGTAACAACCAAATAACAATTTAAAATAAATTTTAAACTGTAATTTAGTTGTTACTTCTATTCCTAATGGTCACTTCTGAAGATGTATGTTGAAACATACGAAACGTCAAATAAATGCACTTTGTTTTTTAACATGCGTTTTATTACCATGTTTATCACCGCAGTTTGCGTGTTTTTTCTTTCTTTATTTCATCAAAAGTTATAATTTCGGTCTATTTAAAAAAAATGCGTTATTTTCCTTATATTGGCAAGGAAAGATCACCACTTTTGTTGATAGAGATATTTCTTATTTCATTACATTAGACAACAAACTGACAAAGGTAGTGAATTGGTTTGCACAACTTGGTGGAAAGTACGCATCACTTTCTGTTCAGCCACTTTCCTTTTTCCTAGTTTGATTTCCTACTAAAAGCAACAATGCAATGAAATCATATATGGCCACATCACGGTTTTGTTATTGTCGTTGTCGTTAATCGATGATAAAGCGAGGCCACAGAATACCCAGAGACGTTCCTTAGTACTGTATGTTCTGATTGGCTAGTGAGAATTGAAATCTCTTCCCCACGCTCTTTGTATGGTATTCACCAACGTTTCCCTCAATTTAAATAAATTTGTTTCTGGTGATAGGTAAACAATACCTACCTCGCTGCTTGCATAACTGCAGAAGCTCTGCTCCCCTCTCCCTCCCCAACCCCCTCCCAATCCTCAGTCAGCTTCGCCTCTTTGAACACCCGCACTCGAACGCGAAGAACTCTGACCTCTAAGTTTCTGATCCATCTAAAGCTCTCTTAAGTTAAATGTAGCATAATATTATGGAGCCTTTCCTATCATCGCCTCAAGAAAAATATAGCCGTTATGACTGCCAACCAGTATTATTTCGACCGCGAACTACTTTCCATTGCAAATTATTCAAAGTGCACGTGTTGATGCTGATAATTATTCATCTCATGTTCAGTTATTCACCATCATCTTCGTTGGTTCTTGTTCTGTCGGCGTTTTTATCAAAAACAAAGAAACATTCGCTAACCTAATCTTGTAAAACCGCTAGTTATGACGTTAGTAGAAAGAGACAGATATGCTCCATAGCCAGGTAACGATTATTGGACAGAAACAACGATATGTTTGTCGTGAAGTCAAGGTACACGTGCTTAATCA